AATCATTATCCGGGAAACGATTTAGAAATTCCGAATAACCGAATCCATTTTTCTCGTACTAATGACTTTCGACGTTGCGTTAATTCGATACTTTTCGACCAATCCTTTATTCTCTCTCTTTTATTTAATTGTGCACCTACCTGTGAGCATACCTGAAAATTCAACTTTTATTTTATGCTCCACGTTTAAGCAGGTATTTAAGTATCGATAAAAGAAATCATGGAATAATCATTCGAGTCGCCGTTTTACGACACGACTATTCTATTTACGAACCCAAATGGAAATATCGGTCCCTGTTATTATTAAGGGCTCGAACCGGTGGTTTTGCACCGCTCGTGCAAAATCTCATTCGAGGCCTCTTCCTTTTGCCTCGATTCGTTGATCCGAATCGATTATCGTGATTGTCGGTTAAAAGCGTGCAATCTTAATTTTTAAATTTATACCGTGTTTTCGCACGATTCGCGAGCAAGAACGCTGCTCGATTTCGATCATCCCTTACCTTCCATCGATTGGTTAAACGTCATCGATTCCCTACGATCTTTCCTTCGTCTCTACGATGACTGCAATCTTTTCTTCGCCGTGCTATGCGGGTATACTTTTCCCACCAAATTGGCCGCGAATCGGCCGTTGCACAGCTGTCGATGTTTCCGTCTTGCTCGCCGGACTAATTCGATCGTTGCCAATTTGCATGGTGCGCGACGTTCGTCGAAGCGACGTTCCAGAGAGACCCGCGCTCGATTTCCCCGTAAGTGAAAATTAACCGCGAGAGCGTCGAATTTTAAACGTTTCGAACTTGTAATTCGCTCTGTCACGCGATCCACCCCGCCTTTCCCCCTCCCCCAGGCATAGTGCCCACGCGCGCGTGTTCCACATAAAGTTGGAGGTCACCACGTTTCGCCCGGTGTATCGCGTTACGTTTTGGAACACGTTGAACGGGAACGGGTGTAATTATCGTTTACCTGTACTTACCGGTTCCTGGGTAATTACGGAACAATTATTTTATGACATCGTAATTAAATTCTTGGCCGGCCGGGTAAAACGGAATCCCTGCTCGCGTGCGCACGTTCGACGATTGGATAGGACGCCTGCAGAGGTCCTCCCGGTTGCCACGAGGTTACTCGCGCCTCTCGTCAACCTCCTCCGTGCGGATAGCGTGTAATATAATTGGAAGATTAACGAGAGAAATTACAGTTGAAAACACCTCTCCTCTCCGGTACCAGGTTGTCTGCCTGGTTTAATACGCGGCCGGGCAGATAATGGAAAACGCGTGGACAACGATCGAAGTTGAATCACGCGTGCGTGATCCTCGAGTGATTTCGCATCGGCGAGGAGGAATTTTAGTTCGAGCACGGTTTGTTGTTCCGCTCGCACTTGCCACGGTATCGCGTTACAAGACGGAGGGGAGTGGAGGGAGAGAACGAGGAGAGGGGGTTAACGTCCGGCCGGTTGGTTGGTTCATTCAAAGCGGGCAGAAAGATCGTATCGCGGCGAAATTTTTCGGAAGAGTATACGCTCTCCCGATGCCTCTCGATGCTCGTTCTCCAACTTTAGCTTCCACGGATGATTCACGAAGATTGACCGGATGGAGCGCATCGGGAGATCCAGGTAGAAAAGCCGTCTTCAACCGCGTCTTTTATAGCCGGCTTAGTTCCTTCAAATTGGCTGCTTCCCCTTTTCAACGCCATAATCCTCTCTCCGTTTTCGTCCTGCATACGCGAGCCTCGTTAATTGAGTTGGCACCGCCGAAAAGAATTTCCCATAACGCAAATAACGAGCGCTCTCTTAATCGAAGCTCATTATCCATCCATGGATCGCGGGAATTATGCTTCCTTTAATTTTCTCATCGAATGTTTGCCCGCTCGTTCTTTCTTCGTTCGACGTGCAATTCATAACTAAAAAGAAGGAGAACGTAAAAAAAAAAAAAGAATAGGAGAAGTCCTCGTTCCATTTGTTCTCGTTCGGTCGAGGATAGTTGCTCACCGACTCTCACGTTTGGTAACTATTCGACTCGTGGCCATGAACCTACATAGCCTCGCGCGGATAGGAGGTGGTCTAATGGGAATAAGGGTGGCGGGATAGAAATCGAAAGGGAAACGGGAGGCAAGACATAGGCGGAAATGGGTTGTTTCACGGGGCGGTGAGGCGCAACAGTTTGGCCGTAGGAAAGTTATCGCGAGTTTTCCGATTACGGGCGGAATAGGAGAAGATACGGGGCGAGTAAAAACGAGCGGTAAAACGGTTTAGGGCCTCGCCGTATATAGGGATCGCGAAAAAATACAACGGCGCGTTCGCGCCATTCGATCGCCCGCACGGAAACCTGTTTGCTCCTCGGTATTAACGATACTTTCAACGAGACACTCAATCCGCACGGTTAATAGCGGTTGCCTTAATTGCCCTCGACCGAGCAATTAGATAACTCTTTATCTTCGTTTAATAATACCACTTGCGAATCTTTTTTTTTAACGCGAGCGATCGTTCCTTTCTTCTTCTTTTTTTTTTTTTTCTTCTCTCTTCCCCCCCCCCATTTTCACTTTGACAGCATCTCTGTCATTAAAAGCAATGTAAAAACGTCACGAAACGGCATCCAAGGGCAAAATTTTTCCCCCCAAACATCTGGTATTTCGAACATTTGGATGGAATTAGCATACTCGGAATTACTTTGCTTTTGTATTCATGTTTTCGGATGAAACATATTGTTCAACGTCTAACGGTATTATAGAAAATCCTTAGCGACCTACCTTTTTGTTCGTCAATTTCTGACTCATTCTCGGACTTTGGAACTTATTATTAGTATTATATACCTTTCGACCGAGGTGGCCGTTTTTCGGGATCAGGTCATATTTATTGTTTAAAAACGTCCCTAAACTTGATAAATTAGACTTCCGTAACGCGGGCCATAATATTTATCCCCAAAGTTATTTTATTATCTTCCTTTCTTATCCTCTCGAGGCAGTTTACCCGTGATAGGTATTCGAACGTGGAATGGCTCGTTGCTTCGCCCCGGATTATCTCTGTGTACCGAGTCATCATCATGCCAGTCGTTGCAAAGTATTCTTCGACACTTCGCCTCGACCGACAGATCGCGAGACGATCATCCGCACGCGTTCTTCCACTAATTCGATCCTCGCGTCTGCGAGCTTGCTCGAATCGTCCTCGAACCGGCCGAAAATTGGCCCGTTGCCCGCTTTCCACGATAATCCGCGCGAAAAATCAAAGGAACATCAACCCCGAGATTTCTCGAGAGCGGATCGTTGGTGAAGTAAGTAAGTAGGCAGAGTAGGGCGGAGAAGTGAGTGGTGGTGCGGTGTGGCACGTGTGAGCGCAACGAGTGCACTTAAGCATAAAACGAGGCTCGTTGCAGTGGTAGCTCGTGCCGCGAAAATGATATTCGGTCGATAACGCGTTACGCGCCGTTATAAATACGTCCGAGCGTTTTCCGTGTGTGCTAGGCGTACGTGTATATATATAT